AGGAGGGAAGAAGAAGAAGAGAAAGAGGAAAGAAGATTGAGCATAGAAGACCCAAAAACCCAAGAAGAATGTTATCTTTATAAAAACATTTATGATTCCTTGGTGGTTTTTATGTTCTTTCTTACTTGAACTCATGGAAAACTCTTAGACTATTTGGAACATTTTACTTTACTTGAGGTCGAGTAAAGAACTATGTGTGGGGGAGTTGATACGCTTGTAATTTCCATGTTTATGTTTAAATTTTTAATTAGCTTTGATTGATTTTTACCTTGGAAATTACACACTTTTGGTGTAATGGTTTAGTTAGTTAAATACTTGTAAATTGTCTAGACTAGGTTTATTCTGAGCTCAAACAGGTCTATGATCACTCAAAGGACAGTTGGTGAACCCCAAAAGTGGAAGGAAGGTGCAAAATCACAAGACAAAATGAAGATCCTGATTTTTGGTCTATACCCGGTCGGGTATGACCTATACTCGATCGGGTATCTTGTTGAAATTCAAATCGGATCCGAAGACAAAGGAACATGCAGAGAAGATTTTTGACCACGATCGAGTGTCTATACCCGATCGAGTACACCGACACACCCGATCGGGTATCCCTTCAAAAATAACCATGAATTCGATCGAGTATACCTCGAAGTCGAGGTATTACACATACCCGATCGGGTACAAGGACACACCCGATCGGGTATGCCTATAAAATATATCCCTTAATCGATCGAGTATACCTCGAATCTGAAGTTGGATTACACAGAATTGGTTGGAAAGTGAGAAGGGCTTGCCTAACATCCTTTGAGCAAGACAATTTCAGACAACTGAGTATGTGATTTCTAAGAGAGGAAGTGCCATGCTTCTTAGACTGACAACAACATGTTTACCACAATGTATGCATTTTCCTTTGATAACAACACCATCACTATCTTTGATCTTATCAAACTGATCCCATATTCTACTTCTTGACTCTACCTCCTTTCTCTTATTTCCAGGAACATTTGTCTGTTGTGTGCTGGTGTTAGCCCTAGCATCATGAGCTTCCACCACAGGTTCTTGGGAAATAGGAGTCAGAGGAGGTTGAGAGCTAGAGGCACATATGGTATCCATACATTCAACTTCCATTCTGATAAGTCATATACTCATATGAATATATAGTTCAAAAACTCTATGCAATTAACAAAGTGAACAACATCATACATTCACAAATGACAATAAAGTCTGGAACAATCAGCAAGCTGATCTACAGAAGGATATAAGCAGTAGGCCTATTCACTTCTCTACAGACTTAGAAGATACCAGTTCACTCTAACTACTCGTTTGAGTGTTGGAGTAGAAAAAGGTAACTTCAATCATCATGTTTACTCAGCAAATTGTATTCACAAATCATCAGAATTCAGAAAATATGTGTATGAAAGTATGAAAGCATCATAATTCTGATGTGTACACATTACAATTTACTCATATATGAGAGACAGGCAACTGGGAATCAAAATATCTGAATCAAAGGCATCACTACTCACTTAATGCAGCTTCCACCCATGAATATGAACATATGAGAGAAATATGCAGCTTCCACCCATAAACTCATTAAACTGTGAATCACATATTCACAAGCATCATATATAGTTCAAAACTAATGCATATCAATATCTCAGAAACACATGGGCATGAGGCATCATCGAGGCATCACATATTCAGAGGCCATCTATATCAAAAATTCAAAATATCAGAATCATAGACTCACAGGCATAACAGATTAACATGTTGTTCATACAAAGTGTTTCACAGGCCGGATCTAGGGTTTAATGCTTCCACCAAACACATTTAATGATAACACAGGTAAGTCATATACAAAAATGATAACACATCACAATTAGGGACCAGGCTTCCACCAAAGGCCAATTCAAAGCCAATATTAGAGATCGGAACATGCAACAAATTGTTTATCCAAGCAAACAAAGCATACAATTTCAGTATTTAACGATTATACCTCACTACCTCAGTAAGAATTAAGATAATCGAACAAGTTGGAAGCTTCCACAAATCCACAAGACAAGCCCACAATAGCGATCTAGATACTGCTTCGTAACACTGGTAGGCTATGATCGGCTTCCACCAAGGCAGAGAGGCACAAACGTACAAACTACATGTGGATGGACGAGAGAGAGTAGACAGGGATGACCGGAAACAACAGATGAGAGGATGAGTTAAAGAGAGGTCGGAGTAGAGGAGAGGGTCAGAGGGAGTTGCCGGTTGCGAGTGAAGTGGTAGGGGTTAGGGTTAAATGTTTAGTATATATACCTAGGGCTATTCGGGTTTTTCGGGCGGGTCGGGTAGCCAATTTCTAAACCCTATCCGTAACCCATTCCCTTAAATATTGGGCTGGGCATATTCGGTTCGGATTTTCGGGTTCGGGTCAACCGACCCAGGCGGGTAAATGAGGGTAAACCCGATCGGGTTTTCGGGTGGGTTCGGGTTATGCTCACCCCTACCCAAGACCCCCTCATGCCGACGCAGTCACAGGTGGTAGGCCTTATACACATGCACACAGGTCTGTTAGTAACCTCTACCCAAAGAGGATTTCAAAACTTGGTCGGTTAGTCCAATTTTCCCCTCTCCAAAGTCCAATTACTACCGGGGAGTTGATTCTGTTTCTTTTGTCGTCTCAAGTGGTCTTCAATGACTTGTTTAGACTGAATTTCTCCTTGAAGATACAGGGCTGACCTTGTTCATTTCTTCTTAGCTTTCAGTTCTTGTAAGTTTGAGAGGGAGATAACAAAATGGCGAAATCCAGCGCGGACGATGAAGAACTCCGGAGAGCCTGCGAGGCGGCAATTGAAGGCACAAAACAGACGGTCTTAATGTCGATCCGAGTCGCCAAGAGCCGCGGGATCTGGGGAAAACCGATGTTAAGTAGATGAGAGGGTCAGAGGGAGTTGCCGATTGTGAGTGAAGAGTGAAGTGGTAGGGGTTAGGGTTAAATGTTTAGTATATATACCTAGGGCTATTCGGGGTTTTCGGGCGGGTCGGGTAGCCAATTTCTAAACCCTATCCGTAACCCATTCCCTTAAATATTGGGCTGGGCATATTCGGTTCGGATTTTCGGGTTCGGGTCAACCGACCCAGGCGGGTAAATGAGGGTAAACCCGATCGGGTTTTCGGGTGGGTTCGGGTTATGCTCACCCCTACCCAAGACCCCCTCATGCCGACGCAGTCACAGGTGGTAGGCCTTATACACATGCACACAGGTCTGTTAGTAACCTCTACCCAAAGAGGATTTCAAAACTTGGTCGGTTAGTCCAATTTTCCCCTCTCCAAAGTCCAATTACTACCGGGGAGCTGATTCTGTTTCTTTTGTCGTCTCAAGTGGTCTTCAATGACTTGTTTAGACTGATTTTATCCTTGAAGATACAGGGCTGACCTTGTTCATTTCTTCTTAGCTTTCAATTCTTGTAAGCTTGAGAGGGAGATAACAAAATGGCGAAATCCAGCGCGGACGATGAAGAACTCCGGAGAGCCTGCGAGGCGGCAATTGAAGGCACCAAACAGACGGTCTTAATGTCGATCCGAGTCGCCAAGAGCCACGAGATCTGGGGAAAACCGATGTTAAGTAGAGGAGAGGGTTAGAGGGAGTTGCCGGTTCCGAGTGAAGAGTGAAGTGGTAGGGGTTAGGGTTAGGGTTAAATGTTTAGTATATATACCTAAGGCTATTCGGGTTTTTCAGACGGGTCGGGTAGCCAATTTCTAAACCCTATCCGTAGCCCATTCCCTTAAATATTGGGCTGGGCATATTCGGTTCGGATTTTCGGGTTCGGGTCAACCGACCCAGGCGGGTAAATGAGGGTAAACCCGATCGGGTTTTCGGGTGGGTTCGGGTTATGCTCACCCCTAGCCAAGACCCCCTCATGCCGACTCAGTCACAGGTGGTAGGCCTTATACACATGCACACAGGTCTGTTAGTAACCTCTACCCAAAGAGGATTTCAAAACTTGGTCGGTTAGTCCAATTTTCCCCTCTCCAAAGTCCAATTACTACCGGGGAGCTGATTCTGTTTCTTTTGTCGTCTCAAGTGGTCTTCAATGACTTGTTTAGACTGAATTTCTCCTTGAAGATACAGGGCTGACCTTGTTCATTTCTTCTTAGCTTTCAGTTCTTGTAAGCTTGAGAGGGAGATAACAAAATGGCGAAATCCAGCGCGGACGATGAAGAACTCCGGAGAGCCTGCGAGGCGGCAATTGAAGGCACCAAACAGACGGTCTTAATGTCGATCCGAGTCGCCAAGAGCCGCGGGATCTGGGGAAAACCGATGTTAAGTAGAGGAGAGGGTCAGAGGGAGTTGCCGGTTGCGAGTGAAGAGTGAAGTGGTAGGGGTTAGGGTTAGGGTTAAATGTTTAGTATATATACCTAGGGCTATTCGGGTATTTCGGGCGGGTCGGGTAGCCAATTTCTAAACCCTATCCGTAACCCATTCCCTTAAATATTGGGCTAGGCATATTCGGTTCGGATATTCGGGTTCGGGTCAACCGACCCAGGCGGGTAAATGAGGGTAAACCCGATCGGGTTTTCGGGTGGGTTCGGGTTATGCTCACCCCTACCCAAGATCCCCTCATGCCGACGCAGTCACAGGTGGTAGGGCTTATACACATGCACACAGTTCTCTTAGTAACCTCTACCCAAAGAGGATTTCAAAACTTGGTTTGTTAGTCCAATTTTCCCATCTCCAAAGTCCAATTACTACAGGGGAGCTGATTCTGTTTCTTTTGTCGTCTCAAGTGGTCTTCAATGACTTGTTTAGACTGAATTTCTCCTTGAAGATACAGGGCTGACCTTGTTCATTTCTTCTTAGCTTTCAGTTCTTGTAAGCTTGAGAGGGAGATAACAAAATGGCGAAATCCAGCGCGGACGATGAAGAACTCCGGAGGGCCTGCGAGGCGGCAATTGAAGGCACCAAACAGACGGTCTTAATGTCGATCCGAGTCGCCAAGAGCCGCGGGATCTGGGGAAAACCGGGAAGCAAATTAGGCCGCAGTCAGATGGCCAAACCTAGGGTCCTAGCTGTTTCCGGTACGATCTTTTCATCTTTCTATGCTCATTAGCGTATGCTTCGCAGTGATCCTACTCAATTCCAGCTGTGCGAGCCTGAAATCTCTTTTAGCGTTAAGTTTCACTTGACATCAACTTAGGCGCACTAGTTTTATTAAAATGACACTGAAAATTAAAACCTTTTGTTTGCTTGGTGGTTTCTACAATAAAATGCTTGAACTTGGTATGATCTCTGAATTCTGATTTAAGTCCAAGAATCTGCAAAAAATCCCTCCCTTTTTATTTTTGTTTATCAGTGTCACAGTGTGGGGTGGGGGCTATATTTTAAAAGAAGAATAAACAGTACACTTTTCAACGTAATTAAACCTTTATCATAATTTAATTTGACTATGTTTGGGGGTGGGAGCTTGCATTATCTTGATGCAAAAGATTCGTCAAACAACTCATTTCAAAAATTTTAAATTATGAATTGAGAGAACTATTTACTCCCTCATGAACAAATCACATAGTTTAAGAAAGTGTCTTAAGGTGATGAATTTAATAAGAACTTTTAATTTTATCTAAAATTCCACATTGGACGAAGCCCAGGTTAAATTGGGGAAGAAGCACAAGATTTCAAAGTTGGAAAGATAAAAAGGAAAAAGAAAAAAAATGCTCACTATAGACAGATAAAGGAACAATAAAAATTGGTCACCATAGACAGATAAATAGGAACAGATGGGGCATATTTACTTCTTTTAGCGTTTATGCTCTATGGCAATGTTGTAAAACCGCTAGGCACCTTCTAAATGGTAGAGTGGGGCCTAGATCCAAGTAGGGGATCATATGGATTAGGCGAAGAATCAAGAAATTAGGCTATGACTATTGACTAGGCGAAAGCACACCAAGGGACCAAGGAGCACCTAACGCCTAGGCGGGGGATTAATGGCCTATGTGGAGATTAGTTGGGCTTGGACAGGATTTTTAATACAATGCATTACTCTAATAATACACTCTAGAATTTATGTTGATTTGTCTTTTCATATATTTTATTTTGAAAATTGATTAATTTAGAATAGTCTGTTCTAAAATGAAATTTTTACCCCCACGCTTCCCCTCCAAAATATGTTCCCAAAACTGCCAAACACACTCTTAGGCCTACTACCAGGATGCAATGTTCCCATTCAGTTCTATTTAGGTTGAAGAACTTGAACCACTGAACTCATAAATCTTTTCCAGTTATCTCTATCTATCCAAGCTAATATTCCAATCACTCATCATTATATCTTGCAAGCTGGCATATCTATAAGACTACATTTTTGTGATGCATTTATGCATATCTATAAAGCAAAATGGCTCACTAAACTGTTTGCGCTTCATTGTTTGCGTATATCCGACCCCCCCTTACCCCACCTTAGGTGGGAGCCTTTGGGGTAATGATGATGATGATGATCTTAAAAGACTCTCTTTCCACTTTTTCTACACAGAGCCACCAGTGCCTTACTAAGTGAAGTCATTTCCATTTTTTTTCTCATAATCCTATATGACTACATCCCTAAATTATATATACACTTTGTATATTTCCTTCCCAAATTATTGAGTACTTTCTGCCTTGATGTATTTCTTTTCTACAATTGTATCAGTACTAAGTTTCTAAGTTTTGGTTCCATTTATCTGGATATATTCCTTCCTTGCGAACTATGCAGCAAAAGAAGAAGGTCAGCAGACTAAAGCTTTTCTGCATGTGCTGAAGTATTCCACTGGAACAGTTCTTGAGGTAAATACTTATTTTTATTTGGTGCTTCACTGCTTCTCTTACTTAGTACTACTTAGCTACTCCTCCTAAGTCCTATGACCTATCACACAGTATAATTTATAGCCATTTATAGCCTTGATATATGTTATTATGCAGTTTCCGGTTATGCCACATGTACTGTTATCAACCTGCCAAGTAGGCTGTAAATTTTTAATATTGCTGATGGTTGCTTAAGTTATGATGTAAAATCTGATATTAATTTTATTATTCATATAGTTAGTTGGTTCAGGAAACAGATACGTGGTATCTCTCAATACAAATAAAATAATGAACCAAGATGCTATCTCCATGTTTGAGATAGAGCTTTTATCTTTTTAAAACGCAATTAGAGATTTGAACAAATAAAAAGGCTATATTGGACCAAAAGTTGTGTTACAAGAACCGGACTGGACCAGACGGCGTGACCCGGAAACCGCTATTAGGTATAAAACCAGAATTAACCGGTGGCCCTCCTTAAACCGGACTAAAAAATCGACCACCGAGAGCCTGAGAGGTTTTGAACCCTGCCTGCCTTCCTGCTAAGCAACATGGACAAATCACCAACTTGGCAACTTGGTGGGTTTGTGAAAAGCCTTCTTTAACTGCTCTAATACTTTATTCGCATAACATTTTTGGCTGACAATGTTATTATTAATTAATAATCATAATAATAACTATTATTATTGCTATTACGTAGTATTACACTAATTAACTATTTATGAATTATTCATAACATCTATCAATCATATTTAATTCTTTTATATAAATATTATGTTAACACATATTGTCTATCTAATTCCAAACACATTTTGAATTTTGTTATAAACTTTAAATTTTAATAGAAATTTTATCAATTCAGGACCCGAAAGATAGTTAAATTATCAATCCGGGACCTGAAAGATGAAATGTATCGATATAGGACACGAATGATAGAAAACTATCAATTTAGGACTTGAATGATTGAAAATTATCAATTTAGGACCTAAGTTGTCCGAAATTTTATTAATTTTTTTATCTTAAATTTTTTAAATATTATTTAGTTTTATGAAACTAATAAACTTTTGTGAAGAAAAGTTTATCAAAAATTAGCAATGGAATTAATAAAAAATTAAATAAATCAAAACCTATGAAATTTTAAGTCCTAGATTGATAGTTTTTCATCATTCGCGTCCTATACCGATAGATCTCATCTTTCAGGTCCCAAATTGATAATTCATCTATCTTTCGGGTCCTGAATTGATAAAATTCCATTTTAATATGTTACTTTTTTAACTCTTATAACCATTATTAGTTTTGAATTAGAATAGTTCTTAACGATACAACTTTAATCTAATATATAATTATACATATCTTATGTTTTATTTTTCAATAAACATTGACCAGGTTGACCCATAGTTGACCAGGTTGACCTTTGACTGTATTGCTTACCTCGGTGGCCTCCCAGTCCGGTGTTGACAACATAGCTCAAAAGCTGCTTAAAAAAGCATTATGGTGGAGTTTAAGGTCAATTATTTGTCAAGTGACAAGTATGGTGTAGGTGTAGTGGACTAGTGGTTAGACATTGCTTCTTGCAAAAGGTTAAGAGTTCGGCTCCTTGGGGAAACAAACTATCCACACTTTTTGTGTGAGCGATTTACATAGGAGCACTTTGTGTCCTTTCATCTACAGTCTGCACACCCATTTTCACAGAGTAACTCTTAATTCTCTTAATTTTAAATGAGGGACATACATAGACCTCTCCTACAAAGTAGATCACACATGTTAGACTAGGACTTGGTAGATTATATCTAAACTTAAATGTTTATTTTTTTCAAATTTAAATCTATCTATATACAAAGCAAGGTGGAAACAAGGTTGAATTCCCGCTCAAAAATGTCACTATCAAGGTAAAATATCTGTACAAACCAAATTGGGCTGCAAGTTGACAAAGGTTCGGGTGGTCTGTTCAAAGCAGTCCGAGTATGTAATAGTGATTTAATGGGCTAAATGGCTAATGACTGTCAATTTGTCGGTGTTGTCCATTCCCATAGACTCACCGTATTGAGTATTGGGTATTGGTTTTCCATTATAGAAAAAATCAAAATAATACTCTGTATACTTACTACCCAATATATATATATATTTCTTAGCATCTTAAGAGTATATCACCAATTTCATATATTGCATATAAAATTAAATGTGTTTGTGCCGCACTAGATTGCGTCTATTTATTATTTTGATACATCCGAAAGTGTGGAGTGAGTCCATCTTAATTCATATACAAATCGCTCTTTCTGTCTTCTTAAGTTTTGAATTGTATTCTACACTTGGAGAGACTTTCTACACACATCTAGCTATGGATATGGTGGGTTGGTGGTCTAAAGTATACTACACCAGATTCAAATAAAATGACATTCAATGAAAGCTTGAGAAATGGTTGTGGTAGAGATGCTTAAAATACTATGACCATTTTTTACAATGATATATCTCCGCACTACAATTCTGTGATCTTAAAAGCATATTAAAATATGAATAGTTTGTATTTTAGATGCTTATGAAGTGAATTGTTTTGTATTATTCGCCTTTACGTTCAGAACTATAACAAACAAAATGTAATTCATATTCAACATCATCACATATAAATCACAAATGAATAAGTGACCTACTCTATATGCTACGGTGAAGGGAAAATTAAATCTCATGTGTATCATAGGAAGAGCTCGCATGTCAAATGCTAACACATGGGATTCAACATCCAAGTTTTAGTCCTACACCATTTTTGAATATTGGAAATAATTCTAAAATTTCAACATTTTGCTAAAAAAGTTTATCCTATTTTCAACAATTTCTATAAAATATTCTCATCATGTTGACTATAGAATTGCCATATGTATACTCAAATATTTATTGTAAATAATGATCAACAAACCAATTGTAAGAAGAATATTTTGTGCAAATAAGTGTTTTAAAATGTGTCAAACCTCATTATTATTAGTCATTACATCTTTTTGCAACTCTATTATGTCATTAACTTTATTTATACAATTATAATATTTAATTTGAAATCATAAATTATATTAATTTCTTTTGTTTAGTTTTTTAAAATTTCTCCATCACATTAAAATCATGGTAAAAGTCCCGAAATAAAACTAAAAACAATGTAAAATTTATTTAATACATTTGTTTCTAAGAATCCTTTCCATCATTTGCAATGGAGCCAAAAACTCACTATTTTTGGCTTGAGAATATGATGGAATAAAGCAAAATGGCCCACTAAACTGTCTGCGCTTTTTTGTTATGAAGTAGCGGCCAGTCCAAGCAATTTTGTTATGTGACCGAAAACAGTCTCTCTGTGCTTTAGTACAGGGGTAAGACTGCGTACATCCGACCCCCTACCCCACCGTAGTTGGGAGTCTTTGCGCCACTGGGGTAATGATGATGATTTGTTTCTAAGAATCCATTCGTTGTGATCAACCAACTAGATGCATTACTAATGTGCACAAAATTAGGCTTTCCTTTATCCATTATTTCTACTTAAATTTAACATTATGCATTCAATGTATCACAAATTTTTGCTTTCTAGATAAATTTATGATTAAATCTATACAATCTAACTTTTTATAACTCTCACGCTTTTATTAATATTTTCGCTCACACAAACTTCAACTTCGTAAATACCATAATAGTGAATAATTACTTATGTTAATTTTTCAGTATTAATATTGCCCGTGCATCGCACGGGTGAAAATCTAGTTAGTATCAAAAGTAAGTGAAAGAAGATTGATTAAAAATAAAGATCTTTTAATTAACAATCTATTGTAACATATATTCATAAATTATACTACCTCCTTCCTTAAATAAGTGCGACATGTGAAATTTTACCCTATTCACATGTTCTACTTTGACTACATTTTATTTATTGATGTATTAATATATTTTTTTGAAAAATATATTATTAAATATGTCTCATTATAAATTTTCAAAAACTAATTTTTTTAAATTTTTTACTAATAGAGAATTATATATATTAATGGTCAAAGTTGTGTCTCGACAAGTGTGAAATGTTGACTGTTGCACTTATTTAAGAACGGAGGAAGTACTCCTTAAGCGTAACATTCATATCTTCCCACTTTCCTTTTTTAACCGTAACATTCATATCTTCACATTTCTAAATCATCCCATCATACCCTCAATAATTTTGAAAACAATACACTATTATAACTACTTTTTGGATCTATCCTTAATTCCAACACACTATTTCATTATCTTCCCATCATAGCCTCAATAATTTATATCACCTTTCACTATTCATAAATGTTACGGAGGTAGTATATGACAATATCTAAAGGTGTTGCTAAAAATGGTATGCTTACCAACAATTTCACACACACACATATATAGGGGTGAGATCACATACAAACTATTTCTCCCATGCTAACCTACAAACTGTCACAAAGTGTGCATTTTTACATTATTTGTATTGCATATTGAAGTTCAAAGTGTTGCATATTATTTGTATTGCATATTGAAGTTCAAAGTATTGCATATTATTTGTATTGCATATTGAAGTTCACAGTGTGTATCTTTACATTATTTGTATTGCATATTGAAGTTCAAAGTGTTGCATATTATTTGTATTGCATACTGAAGTTCACAGTGTGCATCTTTACATTATTTGTACTGCATATTGAAGTTCAAAGTGTTGCATATTATTGAGTTTGTAGGTTATTATTTTAATCATGGTTTGTATTTGATCTCTTATCTATCTATATATATAGGGAAGAGTTCAAATAAAAAGACCTCTTCTCATGCAAATTGCGAAGATATGCATTTTTTCATGTTTCGCTTGCACGTTTTCGTGTTTCTGCTGCATTTTTTCGCGGTGCCGAAAAAGTGTGGTTTATTTACGAAATTGCTACCGCGATTTTGGTTGAATTTAGTACATTTTTGGATCATTTTGAGTCATTGGATGTGGAAATGAATGCACAAGATTCATTCTCACTATGCATGGGAAGAACTCTTTGTATTTGAACCATCCCCTATTATATATATATATATATATATATATATATATATATATGATACGGAGTATATGATATCATTCTACAAATTTAAATGCCAAACATATAACTTTACAAAGAATGTTTTTAATAGAGCAGTGTTGAACCGGCTAACTCAATCAATAAAAGAAATTGCCCTAAAGGCCTAAACAAGAGTAAAAACAATGCACTCCCCCTAAATAGGAATATCATGCCCCCCAATTATGAATAATTACTGTCTTTTAAAACGGCATTGCCATATTATGACATTAATTAATACTGCTAGATGAATGCATGGTCATGCCATAATATGACAGTCTGATTTTAGGATGAGCTCATGAGCGTACGCTACTACTATTTCATGAAAAAACACAGTTCTATTTAGGAAAACTGTATTGTTTTTACTCCTATTTTGGGAGGGTTCCCAATCAATAAACCTCTAAAGCCCACGCAATCAGTTAAACTAACATTAACGACTTCTTAAATAGGGCCTATGTCTCTGAATCCATATATAATAATTGTCAGAATTCCCAAAAGCTAAATAGCTAATACAATTAGTTAATGGCTAACACAGGCTAAGTGGCTAATATGTAATAACTATCTCTAAATAGGGTCCATGTTACTGAATTCATCAATAATACGGAGTATTAGTTAAAAGTTGTTTATATCGATTGATTTGCTTAAAATGATTCATATCTTGAGATGTTTTAGACAAATTGCTTTTCAATTTTAAAATATATTTTCTTTAATTCAACAGTTAGCTAACGGTACAATTATTTGCATGTCCTTAGCCTGCCAAGTTATATAAGCTGATACATCTCTCTAAGGTGGAGGTTGTAACTAATGATCCAAGTGGCTGTACATTTACACTGGTAATTCCTACGGAGTATTTCATAACCATTTTCCTTTTTCTCCTGAGAAATTTAGCCTAAATAATAATATGATTAATATCCATAAGTAACTTGCAGTAAAAAATCTTTAATATGATAATGTGGTTGCTATAGGGATTTGATAATCTTCGAAGTGCATCTGTTGCTCCTCCACAATGGACTATGCGAAACATTGATGACAGGTGCAGTATGTCATTTGCGTGGCTGAGTGTGTCTTGATAATGCCATGTGTTGATCTTTTCATTAATTAAGCCATATTTTTTTACTCAGGAATCGCCTTTTGCTTTGCATCTTAAACATTTGCAAGGATGTGTTGGGTCGTCTACCAAAGTTTGTGGGTGTGGATGTGGTAGAGATGGCTCTTTGGGCAAAGGTGCTCATTAAAGCTTTCTTTTAGTGCTGCATTTTTTGAACCTTTTAGACTATCACTTCCTTAAAAGACTCTTTAATGATTGATTATTTATTCTCCACCTGCATGTAGTTACTAATAAATGTAACTAGTCTCGACCATAGGTTAAATAAATACACATCTAATGCAGGAAAACACATCTGCAATTAGCAAACAAAAAGATGGCAATATTCAAGTCGGGCCTGTGGCTGATGTGAAGGCAGAAGCTGACATGAAAGTGACTGTTGAAAGGGAACTTGTGTCGCAAGCTGAGGAGGAGGACATGGAGGCTCTTTTAGGCACGTACGTAATCTCTCTCTCTCTCTCTCTCTCTCTCTCATAATAAGAATTTTATTGCCAGGATTTATATAGACGTATAATCCAAACTTGTGCACCATATTCTTCAGAGTCAAGTTTATTGCTGAACAAAGGAGAAAATGATATAAATGCATTTTAAAAACGTTGAGGAATATTCTGTGCTTGGCTGTATCTGGGTCGTTACCCTATTCTACATATTTATGCCAGTCTTTCTTGACACACACATGCACACACTTGCTCTGCAGATCCCCAAACATTCTGTTACTTGTCGCGAAGTCTAATTCCTCAATCCATTGTTTCTTTTACAATGTTTAGTTTTAAAATTTGGATAGGAGCTAGCAATATTCTAGACACATCAATTATCAATTTTTCTTTGCCATTAGCTTTTGATATTAACTTGGTTCTGAGTTCTGACATTGCCTAGTGTTTTATGGGTTGTAGTTATGTAATGGGAATTGGCGAAGCTGGAGCATTTTCTGAGAGGATGAAGAGAGAACTCCAAGCTTTGGAAGCGGCAAATGTCCATGCTATATTGGAGAATGAGCCTTTAATAGATGAGGTGACTATTGAACATTTTAATATCACTTTATGTATTATGGGGTTTATTTGTAATTTATTTTTTTCCCTTGTATTATAAATACTCGGTCATAACTCATAATACGTTATTATGGGCATGTTTTCATAAGTTTTCTGCCATATTTTAGCTCTATCCTTTTGTATATATGTAAGCGTTCTTATTCACTTAGTTATGCACACATAGTTATTTTGGTTCATCTTTGTGCCTTGCAGTGTACCCGGTTTGCAAAAAGTTGCTAAAGGAATCTTGTTAGCAAGAACATGAAATGCTTTTAGTTTTAAAATGTTCATGTGATTTTTGATAATTCTAATTTCCTCACTCTGATTTTCCAACCTTGCTATTTCATCAGTGTAGTTAGCAGAACCCCATATTCCCATAGTGAAGAGTAGGATTGAAGATTTAATCTTCCACTTTCTCTTTAAAGATATTCTTCACTCCTTTCTCATAGATTTTCCAAGGAATTTCAATGTCTGTATTCTGCTAGAATACAAATTATTTTCGGAAGAAACGAAACGTCCCATGCCCTGCTGTGTTTGTCTAGTAACTGATTTGGTTAAACATGGAAGGTGGATGGGAGATATAGTCAAAGAAAGAAGAAATATAAATATTAAAATGCCCACTTGGTAGCTAATTGTTGAAAGGACAAGTAGTGATTTACTTACTCAGGACTTCAGGAGTACTTGGGGTAGGTACAGAATAAATAAAATTGAAAATGTATGTGGTACCAAGCTCTAATAAAATTAGTCTCACTAGTCTTATGCTGCTCTTGCACATAGCTGAAATCAATGAAGGGTTGTATTTGTAAACCTTAGTCATGTAGATTTGGTAGATAGTAAAGGAATTGATGGAGTGTCAAATTCAATTGCTTTCTTCAATTTTATAATGAAATATTTGAAATTTGGCCCCAGTCGGGTTAATTGCCTAGTATAACGAGTCACCTTAGAAATGTAAAGGGCCATGTAATTGCTGAGTATCTCACCTCTGTAAGTCGTTCGCATCAGGTAGCCTATTGGCATGGCCGCACAGTCTAGCACCAAGTAGCGAAGTTCTCATCAAGTAGTTGGCGAGTACGCATAGATTAGGTAATACATAACTACTATATGAATCGATGAAATATGGATGGTGAAGGGGAGAGATAAGAAAGAATTAAACAGAATTACTGAAATGCCACTTAAAATTTAGTACTTCCTCCGGTTCTTATTTAAGTTCCCAGTTTGACTTCACACATATTAAGAAAATGAATTTGACTTTACTGTGGAGTGCACTGTTTGGCACTGTTTGGCACTGTTTGGACACTGTTTGGCACTGTTTTGCACTGTTTTGTTTCCTAAAATGGAAGTGTGAATTTAAATAAGGGACATCCCAAAAAGGAAAGTGGAAACTTTAATAAGAACCGGAGGGAGTATTACACTATTGTTACACATATATGGTTTTGCATTTTGGGGACCACCTTGCAACTCCTTTTTTTTGCAAAGCTAGGAGTATTTTGCAACGGAAAAGAGAGGGACCAGAACAACCATCTGTGTATAATTTAGTGGCTAAAACATGTATTTACACAATGGCTTAAGCGACTTTATATCTTCCCCTAGATTTATTATTTTTTAGATCTTACGACTAGACTATGAAACAATATTGCTAGCATTGAACTTAATTTATTATTTTTGGTTCTGCAGGTACTGCAAGGACTTGAATCTGCTTCTAATTGTGTTGAAGACATGGATGAATGGTTGAGCATCTTTAATGTAAAACTAAGACATATGAGAGAAGACATTGAATCGGTAAAAACCTCTGAAGTGCATTTTTATAACCACTCCCCCCAAATGATTTATCTGTTTGCTCTTGCTCTCCTTTGTACTTCATGCAGATAGAAACCCGTAACAATAAGTTGGAAATGCAGTCGGTAAACAATAAATCATTGATTGAGCAACTCGATAAGCTTCTTGAAAAATTACGAATTCCTTCTGAGGTGTTTCTCTTTTTCTTTCAGTCCAAAACTGATTTGCAATGATTTAATGTTTTTTCCTAATTATTTTCTTGTCTCAGTATGCAGCAAGTTTAACCAGTGGTTCATTTGATGAAGCACGCATGCTTCAGAACATTGAAGCTTGTGAATGGCTAACCAATTCTATACGTGGTCTTGAAGCTCCTAATTTGGATCCTAGTTATGCCAAAATGCGAGCTGTACGTATATTTCATATTAGTTCTCTTTCACCTCCTTAGAAGGCAACATTTCTTAAAGTGTGGGTGACTTAATATGCATCGCCTCGTTCTAAGAAAAGCTATGATCAGAAAGTCATGCTTTTCAAATTGGGTAAGAATATAAAGAGCATAGAAAATATAAAGATCTGGGTGGCATTCGTTGAATTATTTAGTGTGGTGTCGTTCATAGAAGCATTTAGGGAAATAAGCGCTGATGGAGTGATAGTTGTGCTTCTATGTAAAATATTTGTAGACGTTTTATGTATACATGTTTTGCAGTCAATTCCTAAAAATCAATTGTCATACCAGAGATCTGATTTGCCTGTCTCATTTTATTTAGAAGATTTTGTTTTGCTTATGAAAAAGCTTTTGTAATGTCTAAATAGGTAAAAGAGAAGCAAGTGGAACTCAACAAGTTGAAATCTACTTTTGTCAGGAGAGCTACAGAGTTCTTGAGAGACTACTTTTCTAGTTTGGTGGATTTCATGATTAGTGATAAGAGTTACTTTTCTCAGGTACTCGGTATCTCCTAAGATGACATATTTTAAGGTCCTGAAATTTATGTTTTATATGTAACATATTTATTACATACGTCATGTCATTTAACAGCGTGGACAATTAAAAAGGCCTGATCATGCTGATCTACGGTATAAGTGCAGGACATATGCTCGTCTTTTACAACACTTAAAGGTAAGATTAAGACACATTAGACAAGTATGCCAAGTTATAGAATGCTTATTCTTTTATTTAACTATCATCTCTCATGTGCAGAGCCTCGACAAGAATTGCTTAGTCCCTCTAAGAAAAGCTTATTGTACATCCCTTAACTTACTTTTGCGACGTGAGGTTAGCTAGCTCATGAAGTTTGTAAATTATCTTGAAAGTTATTCATTCATTATATTTTATTAATTAATTTACTTACTTATTTATGTGTTTATTTATTTATTACTTATGAACACACCTATTTAGTTAGTTATTTAGCTATTTGTCTGTTTTAATTTGTGATTTTGTTCAATGAACTTTTATTTATTTATTTATTTATAAAATATTAGTGTTGATGGACATTTTTACACATGAAGTCAAATATATTGCTCAAAGTTTTGAAATTTTCATGCACAACTAAATGGTTATCTTACTATACCCAATTTAGATCTTACTACTGTTATAATGATGGTGATGATGATGAACTGATGATGGTACTAGTAACAGTAACAACAACAACAACAATAGTAACCATACACAACAACATCTAAGCTTTATTCTCACATGAGTCGACATATGATGTCAGATTTAAAAAATAAATAGAGAAAAAGGGAGAAACAAAATCAGATCTGTCCTCCGGTCCTCCCCCGTATACCCTCCCTCCCTCCACTACGCCCTCTCCAAAGTTACTCTCATCTAACCCAGTGCCATGTCATTCTTGACCACTATGATACACAGATGTCTAGGTTGTCCCCTTCCTCTCTTTACTGCCTCCTTTCCCCACTTTTCAATTCGTCGGTCTGTACACACATGGTAAACCACCGCAACCGAAACTCTCGCATCTTATCTTCAATAGGTGCTACGCTTTTCACCAGATTGTCTCATTACTCGAGCGGTCTTTTCTAGTATTCCCACACATCCGGAGCAACATGCTCATCTCAACCACACTCGCAACAACAATAATATTACTCTTCACCGCCAACCAAAGCCCGCCCGCCTGCCTGTGGACACACACATATATTTTCATAGATATACTACAAGTAGAAAAAGCAACTCTGAGTGAAAAGATATAGATGATGCTAAAATTTATTAACTACACTAATAGTTAATCCCCATAGTTCATTGCCACTTTTTGTCAACTGTATATTTTCACTCTAAAAGATGAACTCTAACACAAAATTATCGACTCTGACAAACCAATTACTCCGTAATATGTATCAACATAAAAAACAAACCAACACGGAAATCTATTAACCTTACTTAATATTTGTGAACAAATATATTGGCAAAAAAATTTTTGAACTAAAAAAATAGCCAGATGCTTGCCGGAGGTTGCTATTGGGTAGGTGTGTTTTGGAACCAATCTTTTGTTTCTATAAATAATGGTAGTTATGTAATTGACTTTATTTTGAAACTCTACTTTTTGAAATAAGCTCTAATCTCTTAATTAATGGAAGTTAATTACATCTCTCCAATTACAAGGCTCCAACGTGTCTATATGCCTCTTTAATGCTTTATTTTTTTATATTTATTTGTCTACGTTTTTCCTGATCTTGAGAATTGAACCAAACTTCATTCTGGTCCTGAATGTTTTTCTGAGGTTATATTTGTTAACTGATACAATGGTTAAAGTCCACACACCTTGGTGTCTCTTGTGTATAGGAAAACATTGGTGTACTGTACTGTGTTTTTTGTTCTTTGTAGGCTCGTGAGTTTGCAAATGAGCTTCGTGCTAGTACAAAGGCATCTAGGAATCCAACTGTATGGCTTGAAGGTTCCACAGGTTCCAACCAGACATTAAATAATGCAGACACGTCTACCGTTTCTGAAGCATATGCTAAAATGCTTACAATATTTATCCCACTACTTGTGGATGAGGTTACCTTTTGGACTTTCTGCTCATTTTCTGTGGGGTGCATCTGTAAAAATTGACTGGTTTGCTGCAAATATATCTTCTCTTGATTGAGTACTCTGTATTTTAAATTTTGCAGAGTTCTTTCTTTGCACATTTTATGTGCTTTGAAGTTCCTGCACTTGTTCCACCCGGAGGACTTGCCAATGGCAATAAAAGTGTGAATGATGATGATGACGATTTAGGCATCATGGACATTGATGACAATGAAACCAAAGGTATTACTTGCTTTTTTTCATATTTTATTCTTAATTTGCATTCACTTTATTTACTTTTGTAAATAAGGTCCTGCTTTGAATGTGACCTATAGTGTTTTTAGCTCTACAATAAAGAGCTTATTTAGCTGGGTAGGATAGCCCGTTGGATAAGGAGCTTAAACAAGCACTTTTAAGACAAATTATTTTCTGTTAGCTTGAAACAAAAACATTTTATGTGTTGGCAGCAGAGTGTTGTCATGAAATGTGCATGTCTTTATTGCTTGTGTATATGATGTAGTTCATTCTATTATTCTGGATAGTATCATGGACTCATGGTGATTCTAGAAGAGATAGAGAATATGGGGGAGACGCGTGTAATGCCAGAAGAGAATAATGGATTCACTCTGTCCAGGGCTCAGTCTGGATAGAGTTTAACTTGGCACTTTGAAGATTATTTTGAAAATGGTTTAGAACTGTTTATCTGGGGTGTCCATGCAAGAGGCATTTGAATAGCTGTTTTCCAGATTCAAACAAGCTTCTTGAAGTAGATTATGGATTAGGATGTTTTTTTGGACTGTTTTCAGTCCCAGATCAGACCAGACCAGACCAAACTTCCACAGTTATTAAATACACAAAGACCAGACATTTACCAGACCAGTTCAGACCATACCAGACCAGCAAATTTCAGTCCAAAAAAACATCCTTAATGCTTATGAAAGCAGCTTACAAAAAGTTTTCAAAAATGCTGCTTTTTCAAAATTGGATATAAAATTTAGCAAATGTGCTTGTAGTTGAACACCTGAACTACTAAACTGTGACCCCCCACCTCGTTATCGTATTGAAATTAATTCCCCCCATGTTTTTGCAGGCAAAAGTTCTTCAGAGCTAGAGGCATTGAATGAATCACTTCACCATTTGCTTGATGGAATACAAGTGACTTCCTTATGTTTCTTTATTGGCAGTTTCTTAATTTGATATTGGTGAATATTCTTTTCCAACAATGCATAAATTCTGAGAAGAATCTCTGTTTTCTTCATTTTTATGTGCTTTAGGAAGACTTCTATGCTGTTGTAGATTGGGCATACAAGATTGATCCTCTGCGCTGCATTTCAATGCATGGTATCACAGAACGATATATTTCTGGTCAGAAAGCTGATGCAGCAGGGTTTGTTCGCCTCTTGCTAGATGACCTGGAGTCTAGAATTTCTATGCAGTTTACCCGTGTAAGCTTTTGTTTCAATCATTTATGCATATACCAAAAAACACCCACAGTCTCATTTGTACCCACAGATATATGTAATGCACTTTTGTTGTTCACTTGCATTGCAGTTTGTAGATGAAGCTTGCCACCAAATTGAAAGAAATGAGCGGAATGTTCGGCAGTTAGGGGTCTTGTCATATATACCCAGGTAAGCTATATTCCTTTTAGTATTCAGGATAGATGCGTATGTCAAACTTTGGTTACAGTTTTTTCTCTCGCTTGACTAGATTAAATTCAACAAAAAATGTTACCTCAATAAGGTCAACAAAGTTTACAAACACATAACTGAAGATATCCTTGTGAACTTTTAATGAAGTAACTACTCAGTTATTAGGTTGGTACTTTTATGGAAAGGCCAGGTGGAAATAACTCCTACTCAATTAATTCTCCAGATTGGACTAAATATACTCCCTTAAAGCCCTGTGTCCTTTCGTAACCTATTACAGCTTTCTTTTGTTGGGGTGAGGGGGGTAATAAATATTTCCCAATCCCGTTTATTCTTTTTAATACATTGGCTTGAAATGGGGCCATCAGGCTATGTGGTAAACTGGAAATGTTCATTATGCGCTATTATTGACTGTATAGTAATACAGTCAATCAGTGAAGTCTGTATTAGAAATTGGATGTTTAAAATCATATCCTGATCTGTGATACACTGAATTCCATTTAAGTGTAATTTTCAATATAGATTTGCTACACTTGCAACCCGAATGGAGCAATATATCCAGGGGCAATCAAGGGACTTGGTGGATCAGGCATACACTAAATTTGTGAGTGCTCTGATATTCTCTACTCTGATCTCGTAATGGTGCCATAAGCCCATAGCTTGATGAGCTACAGTGGTGGTTCAGGGGGTTGAGTAGTCATTGGCCAGTAATTGGATTACAGTGGCAACGACTCACTTTTTCCTTCAGTGGTTTACGGTCCTTTTGATAAGGGTTATTTGGTGAATGTGCTGAATTTTCAAGGAGAAATATTTAGTACGTCAATTTCAGCTAAATAAGTCATGTGATTCAAAAGCTACTTATTTTGAGGCTACCAAATGGAGCCCTAGTTGCTTGTAAACTATATAAATTGATCCTTTCTATGGTCTTAGTCGTGTAAACATTTTATCATTGCAGAAAGCATATCTAGCCTTGATCCTTACTCTATTTGAAATACTTTAATTCTTTTTCATACTCACACACACCCCACCCCCAAATGCCCAGTAATGTATGTTTGACAAGAAATAACCCTGTGGAAGACTGTGCCTCTCTTGCTGCATTGAGTAATTAATTACTCGTCCACATTGATTAAACATATTTACTCCGGATGAGCTGTTCTTTTTATTTTCTTTATTTTAAGAGCATGTTCATCACAAATGTATTGGATGTTCACATTTGACAATGTTAACATCATTTTCCCCGTCTCACCAATGTCAGAAGATATATCTTTAGCTTGATTTTAATAACGCTTGCATTGCTCAGCTTAACTTCTATTTCTGGGAATCTATTTGGCAGGTTTCTACAATGTTTGCAACTTTGGATAAGATTGCTCAGGCCGAGCCGAAACATGCAGAAATAATGCTTTTAGAGAACTATGCTGCATTTCAGAATAGGTAATATCTTAGTGATGGTTCTTGACATTTGGGCAGTTCAATGCTGTCACTCCGGTATTGTTATCTTAAAGACACTGACGAGAGACAGTTGCTTGCAGCCTGTATGACCTGGCCAATATTGTGCCCACTTTAGCAAAGTTTTATCACCAAGCCAGTGAAGCTTATGAACAGGCCTGTACACGCCACATCAACATGATTATATATTATGTAGGTTCACAAATTTTTAATGCATAATTGTTTATTATTTCCTTCCACATAATGTTAATTGCTCCATAGTCCATACTTGTACAAGTTTTTTGTGTATTTTTTTTATAAACATGCCTATTAAAATATTTCTGTGCAGCAATTTGAGAGACTCTTCCAATTTGCTAGAAGAATTGAGGATTTAATGTACACAATTCCCCCGGAAGAGGTCAGTTCAATTTGCAGCCCATTTCATTCTCCTTAAGTTATGGACATTAGTTTTTCAGCCAAATTGCATCCGAGAGGACTCAATTCCCTTATCAATATTCTTTAAGGGTCTGTTTGGATCATGAAAAATGCTATGGGATGGGGGAGGTCAGTTTAAACTCAATAAAGAAAGTTTAGATCTCACGCTTCTTTATTCATACTCCGAGGGTCTCTACTCTCTAAGTTTGTCTCATACAAAATTTGGTAATATTTTTGCAACCTCTAATTTATCCTTAGTTTATCGATACCAACCATGTGACTCCTTTCTTTAAAATTACACCACTTCCTCATGTCCCAGTCTTAGTGGGGTAGAGGTAGTACTATATATCTACTATATAAAGACTACGAATATAAATGTGTAAAATTACAAACTTTTAAATCAAATTTGATCCCTTTGGATTTTCAAAGGTAATACCAAGCATTAATAAAAACTACGCAGTCTTTCAGTTCTTTCTCATTTCCCTATCATTTTTATCTCATTCTAAACAAAGGGTAGCGTAATGGTGCTCTTCCCTAGCTGGCTCTTAGCTAGGCATAATTTTTATCCTTTTGTCCAGATTCCATTCCAACTTGGATTGTCTAAGATGGATCTTCGAAAGGTGGTCAAATCTAGTTTATCAGGGGTGAGTGAATAACTGTAATGAACTTTTTAGGGGGAGATAAGTGGATCTGGGTAGTGATGGATGAATTGGTTGTGCAGGTTGATAAGTCCATTACTGCAATGTATAAGAGATTGCAGAAGAACTTAACATCAGACGAGTTGCTTCCTTCATTATGGGATAAATGCAAGGTATTATGCACTGTTTATCTACCTATGTGTACATCTCTCATCAGTCAGAGCTGTTAAATTTTAGCTACTCAATTGTTTGGCGTTTCTTGTGTAATTAGGGATCTGTTTTTTGGGATTTGTAAATTAAGTCTCTTAATGATATAATCCATGATTCAAATACAAGTACAATTGTCCTAATTAGTCCTTCCTGATTTCCTGTTAACGCGTGTTTCAGTATTTAGGTTTATGGGACATTCTCGATAATACAGTGTCAAGAATGCCCCTCATAAGCCTTGGTATTATATGTGATGGATTAATTGGATCTAAATTATATCACAATTGAGGGACTAAATTTACAACTACGGAAAGGCAGACCCTGATTACATGCTTTCAAATGTTGAGGGACTTCACGTATAATATGGTGGTTTCCCCAAGTTAAATGTTACTTTGTTTGTTTATCATTTATACTGGAGAAGAGTGTTTGTGTTATTGGCAGAAGGAGTTTTTGGACAAGTATGACAGTTTCCATCAGCTTGTAGCTAAAATATACGGTGACGAGGGCATTCCATCTGTCTCAGAAATGGGAGGAATCCTTGCCTCGATGTGATAATGTGCACCAGATGCCCCTTCCGTCTCTATGTAACATATTGACTTCTCTTTTTCGCTACGAATTGGAGTGCTGGACTACATGTCTACATCAATGCCAAGTTTTTGTGTGTCGTGAAAAGGAGCGTTTGTAAAAATGAAAGACTGACAAGCATAGCGAGCAAGAAAATTTGAGCACATGGGAAATGTAGTTGAATTTATTTTTTGTATATTCAAGTCCAGGTTCATAATTTCAAAATCAACCACTCAAATTCATTAAAAATGTAGAAGGTTACAAAAATAAAAGAATGCCGAGTACGACTTAAATCTAATCATGCTATAGGAGCAGTATAAGCTTATATCCATTCATTTATATTGTGAAGCCAAGAGTGTCGGTCTCGTTACAAACTGGACTACTCGAGTAGTCGAGTGGTCAAATTATGTTTGTGTAAAAATACTCCAGTTAAAAGTTGACATCCTTTGGAAATCACCCGCTAGCTCTGAGGCTTTCACTGCACCACTTGATTGATAAGGAGAGATGGTGTGGTTGAACCGAAGATGAACCAGTAAATCGTTGTCGATGCATTCATACCTGCAAAGTCGCCATATCAATAGGTGAGATTCACTTAATTGCAACAGAAACATCTATGCTTTGAAAGTTTGAATGAAAAGCATTAATGATTAATCGGTCCATTAATCGGAGCCAATTTGAGCAAGTGTTCTGTGGCTGTTGAATTTTCTTAAGCAAAAGCGTTTAGTAAAATGTAGTGTTACAAGCTCCTTTATCCTGCACGATAAATTCCACAAAGGGGAAGCAACGTATGATGGTATGACTTATCTCGCTGAAACTAATTTTACCAAACGCCCTGCATTTCACAAGCTCTCTTTATCTGAAGTCAGATTTTTCTAGAAATAGCTGTCCATGTGTATGAAATGCAAAAAGATTTGAAAGTGCAGAATCATACAATTTTTTGCAGAAATTATCAATAACAGCCGAGAGAGTGACGATCTTGAGCCGCATCTCGACAACCTTATTTTCTGGGAATTCATCAAACTGGGTTTCCAAAAACATTGAGAGCCTCTCGGTATTGGTTTCAAGCTGCTGTTGCTGGTCCTCAAAAAGGTTTTGTTTTATTTCTCGTTCTCTCTGAGTCATTTCATTCTCAACCAGTTCTTCACCAAACATGTAATATGCAAATGGATAGGAATGTGAGAGTATCTGTCTCGATTGGAAAAGCCTATAATACCCTTTCATCACCCAGCTGAAGTCTTTTAAACTCAACAATACCCTTGATTCAAGATTTAAAACCTTTTGCTGCAACCTTTGCTCCAGACCTGCTTCTGCCTTCAAGGAATCAGTATGAGCTTTGTAACGGTTGTAGTAGTGAGTGTACCGCAGTAGCTTCTTTTTTGCATTTGCAATGTCTTCTTCCTGGTTTTCTTTGTAGCGGCCACAAGTGTGGCCGTCAATAGTTTGCCACGTGTGCTTCACACCAGTAGCACCACCACAAAGCCAACTAAAATGTTATCCATTAACACATTAGCAGGTTTAAAAGAAACAACCAAACATTTAATTTAAAGCAGGAACATAAAAGCTGTATATAATGCATAAACATTTTCTACCAAGAGCCCATTTTGTTGGGTTCATTTTCGGCTTATCAGCAAACTTTAATTTGTGTGAGTGTTCTGCCGGAAATGATGAAAAAACTATTGGAAGAGTGATGTTGCATTTGTTGTCATCATCATTACTCCGGTGCCGCAAAGGCTCTCACCACACCTTCGATGTGGTAAGGGGGTCGGATGTAAGCAGTCTTACCCCTGTACTAAAGCCATTTTTCTTTATTCCATCGTATTCCCAAGCAAAAAAAATGGGTAACATTTTAGTTGCGTATAATGATGGCCAACTAAAATGTTACCCGTTAACACATTAAATGTTCCCAAGCCACAATTGCGTTTGTTGTAATGAACAAAATCGATCCTTCATCTTTATTTTAATTTAGATTTAAAACCTTTTGCTGCAATCCTGTAAATTTAATTTTTCAAGTATCTAGTTACCATTGTCTAGTACTGCACTCACCAAAATGGTTGTCCACATATGCATTGCACAAGGTTGCATCCCCCATTTTTCACTACAGGTTTCTTGCATTTTGGGCAATCTTTCGTATAGGCCGAAATCCAATTCACTGTCTCAGAATCATCACTGCACTTCTTCATCCACATCTCCCACATCAGACACGAGCAGGGTGAATGCGTTTCGGAGGAGCAACGAAAACAAAACTGCAGGCCACATTCACATTCAACATCACAACACTCATCAACCTGAATACGGATTGCATTCCCGCAATGTGGTATGCTAGGACACCATTTGACCATCTTGTTATCATCAATGTATGACTCCAAAAGAAAACGTTCAAATTTCCCTGCCAGATCCGGATCCCTCTCACCAACCAGATCCCTAATCTTTCCTTCATCACAAATAGCGTTACACTTGTAGGCCATGCACTTTATGCGCTTACTCTTACCCTCATTTATTTGCACCATGAAATGCTCTGTCCAACCTACAAGAAACAATTTTGAATTAGAAAAACTTAATAGATGCAACATATCTGTCAAACTCCAGCCATATCCTTTAGCTATCATTGCCAACCGAATATATGATGGTAATAATAAGTCATTAATAAATATTTTTAATTCATAATAATAAATAATAATGATAATGATAATGATAATAATATTATTATTGGATGTTGTTGTTGTTGTTGTAGAGTCCAAGTCGTGTCCAAAGCCAGGACGAACATGGTTCTTTTATGAACCGGTATCAAATTCAGCGTGAGCTTGATCCGAGTTTGATCCATGCTCATTTTGTATAAAGGCACTAATCATTGGTTATTTTGCACAAAAAATAGTCAAATACCATGAGATGGCAATCCAGGTGCAATTTGTGTATGGAGAGTTAGAGTGTGTTACTCACAATCATTGCAAAATGAATGGCCACAATCCATTATTGTTACATTTGCAGCGGGAATATCATCAAAGCATATTCCACATGTCATGTCCACAGTAGACTCATATAAGGAAGTATCATCTTTGCATTCTACTGTTACACCAGCTTCAGCGTATAAGCTTTCCTTCCCTTTCTCCACGAAGATTGTTAAAACCTTGTCGACATCCCAACGATAGTGGATAAGTAAGGTTCGCGCATGATGTTCCTTAATCGATAGCAAGTCTTGTACTCTTTGCAAGTCCTCTTTCTACAAAAACAAATTACCATTTGCATGATTTAATATCAAAATCCATTACACTTGTGTCTTTAAAGATTATACATTCAAATTGACGAAGTGCAAGTGTTCTGAAGCTATTAAATTTTACCTGTGCTGTCAAAAGAGAGTCTTTGGTGATCACCTGAAACAAGTAAAAAATCATAAACCTCAGGAGATTATAAGATTACTCCGTATAATATTTCTCCATGATAATCCAATATTTCGAGGTTGAATTAAAATTTGTCCTTGTACGTCCTTCAACATACACATGTGGATTCGTGTAGCCAAGGCAGGGCAATCCAGACTCTGGCTATTTTCGGTTAAAAACTTGCGGAGTATTTTTGTGAGTAAAAATGTTCTGATATAATACGTAATTACGTAGTATGTTATACAAAGAAGTATCCTTTCTGGCCGAGACCTAATTAAAGTTTCACGAGCCTCTGGCTATACGTGTTCCCACAATATAACAAAGATCTCCCCTGTAAGTTCCACTGCCATTAGTTGTGGTTGACAATTCATTGACCATTGGTAGCTCAGTAACATAATATGACAAATTCTAGCTACTAGGGTTCAACAATAAAATCTTCTACCAGAAACAACAGGTAAAATTAGTATGACATACTCAAGGGAACATGGCCTAATAAACAGGGAGATGGGAAGAACTAAGAAGCAACAATTGGTACAGCGAAAACGCGCGCCCGCCAACAACAAAATAAGAGATGATCTCTGACCCCGTAAACGACACCAATTAAGTAAATCTGTTAATGGAAGACTGAAAGACTGCAACTTGGTCACTTGATCAGACAGATAGATATGCTATGCAGAAAATCAATTCCGTGTGATCATGGGGAGCACTTTTTTTGTTGTTTAACAGCAGCAGGTTAAGATGCGGCAAGAACAGATGATATTAATCAAATACTCCATAACTAGTGATACCTTGCATGATGGAATTCTATCGGTTTCGAAATCAGCGTTGTCGTAGTCATCGTCTTCATAGTAAGCTTGATCGTCATATTCATCACCGCTGCTCCCTTCGGAATCCATGATCTCGATTTCTTAGAATGATATTTCTCAAGGTTTTCAGGTTCGTCTAGATACATACTTCGTACGTATATAGCCTCAGCATTATTCTCCACCCCAAACTCCTCCCTCTACTAGTAGAGTTGAAGTCTTCCTTGGATTTTTCAAATAATAATAATATAATAATAATAATAGGAATAGGAAAGTAAGGAGGCAACGTTTCGAACCCGCGGTATTAAAGCCATCTTTTATACTCTTGGGCTGTGTATTAATGTTGGTCTACGTGTGATTACAAAAAATATTAATGTATCCACTCTTATATCCACTTTTATACTCATCCGTGTTTGTGAAAGTTTTTTGTTGTTGTCTGTGAACATCGATTCACATACAATATTTTGTACAAACAAAATATAGTCTGTGAACCGGATTCACAGACAAAAAAGCTTCACAAACATGATGAGTATAATGTGGGTATAAGGGTGAGTACATCAAGCATGGTTAAAAAAAGTATACCACATCCGTGAGGATTTCCACCATCCGCCGCATAATTAAGTGAAAAAATATAAATTGAATTTTAATCAGAGATCGATAGATAGCGAATGAAGCTCTATCTCATGTATTTGCAGATGATCATGCATTTTGCATAGTATCTTCCTCATCGTAGTTGTTAGGAATCGAATCCGAGAGGTCTCTTGATACTCCCACGGGCTCTGGCCCGATTACAAAGCTTGGTTGGTTTTTATCTTGGTTACTATTACTCGGTATTTATTCATACATAAGGGAGTAAAGGGCAAAAAATGACATTTTTAATGAAGCTCATATTGGACACTAAGGGTATGTTTGGGAGTTGAGTTTTGGAGGGGAGAGAAAGGTTAATGGGGGTTTATGACTCTCCTTTTCATGTTTGGGAGTTTGAAAAATGGGAGAATTGGTTTTGGAGGGCTTTTGTAACCCTTCAAAACCCTCCAAATGCTTAATTTTTAAGTTCCCTCAATTTGGAGGGTTTTGGAGGATAATTAACAAGATGGTAATTTAAGTTAAATTAGAAACGAATATCAGCTCAATGATTTGAATTCGTCATATCTCAAAGTGATTTTAATTATAATTTCTTCAAAAACATTCTTCTTCCAATTTTATTACTCCCAAATACAAAGAAGGGCTTCCTACCATCCTCTCTCTTTCCCCTCCAACAACATACCTCCAAAGCCTTCCCTTCTCCTTCCCTCCAAACTCCCAAACATACCCTAAGATTTCAAGTAGATCAAATAAACATAAATGTAAGCTTTTTGGTTCCTTTTCAAACACCATTTAAAATCTCCGTTAAACAACCTTTTCCCATCATTAACATATATCATCTCTTTCCATCCGATTAAATAAAACAATCCAAATTCACTACCCCAATTCTTTCTCCACGTACTATAAGTGGAGATTGTGTGATTTAGTCGTGAGATTTATAAGACATTGAACTCCACTAACAAGGTTAGAAGATATGCAACTGCTCTAAGGCACTTTTTGTGTGTTGACTTTGTTCTATACAATGAGTGGGTTGGTGAATATAAGATTTAACCATAGCAGGAAGCACTATTCTAACAATCGTTCTAGGCATCTGACTAGTCCCCGCCTAGGTTAGGCGGTGGTCGAGCGCTCGATTTTTGTCTAGGCGCCCCGACTAATTGGTTTGGTGCCTAGGTGAATTAGTCGGCCGCCTAGGGCGCCTAGTTGCCCGCCCAGAGCGCCTTGTCTCCGCCTAGGGTGTCTAGATTCACCGAACAATTTTTTCTTTTTAATTTTCTTTTTGTAAGAAATATATGTATTTTTAACTTTAATCATGAATATGTAGAAAGGTACTTGTAAATTAAGATAAAAACTATATATCTTTGTATATATACTTAAATTTGTTGTATTATTTAATATTTATTATATAATGCAGTTAAGTGATTAGTTATCATATACTACGTATTAATAAATGTGACAATTCTACCATTCATGCATGTTAATGTGTGTGTATATATTTTTCACACACATAACCACAATGCTACCGTTTTACTACATACTCCCTCCGATCCCTATTAAAGTTCCCAGTTTGACTTCACACAGATTAAGAAAATAAATTTAACTTTACTGTGGAGTGCACTGTTTGACACTGTTTGGACACTGTTTGACACTGTCTTGCACTGTTTTGTTTCCTAAAATGGAAGTGTGAACTTAAATAATGAACATCCCAAAAAGGAAAGTGAGAACTTTAATACGGACCGGAGGGAGTATTACTTATCATATTTATGTAAAAATATTGATAAAAATAGAACTTATGTGTCTCTGACTAGTCCCCGCCTAGGCTCCCGTATAGCCGCCTAGGCGCTAGGCACTGTGCTGACGCCCGACTAGCGCCTTTTAGAACATTGGCAGGAAGTGGATCGTGAAGCCTTAGTTACAATATGATAATAGGGACATGGATATAAAGTATGGTTTTGACCCTAATTATACGTGTTACCATGACATACCAAGAAAATAAAATAAAAGTATGATTTTGGTTTAAGAACACTGCAAAATATATGTGTTAGAACTTATAAATATTTGGACAATGGTCTTTTCTTAGTTGAGGATGATGATATTATAAAGAACATGTTAAATCATATTAGGAGATTCTGTTGGATTGATGTTCATGAATTATACGTTGAAATAGAAGGTTCGGTTTCTGAAACCGATAATCATATATGACAACAATGGTGGGTTTAGTGTGAGAGACCAAAGTGTTAAAACTGCCAATTGGCTGGGTGATGAGTCTTCCAATGCACATGTGAGAGATCAAAGTGGTGAAGTGAACACCAATGATGTCCCAAACAACTATGTTACAAATGAAGAATCAAAAGATCATGGGAGCAACAATTCTGATGACTCATCCGAAATGAAGCTAAGCTAGAATGAATAACACTGCAACAAATGGGTCAGGATATTTTATGAATGGAATGGCATTTGAAGATGCTCAAGAAGCTCAGACTGCAATTGCTAATTATGGTGTTAAATTTGGTTACAAGGTGAAAACCCCAAACGAGAAGAACATGTTGGCTGTAAAATGTTTGAATGAGGAAGGATATCCATTTAGAGTGTGGATTGCTCAAGATGTCCATTTAATGTATCTGATGCACTATTAAATTTGTCTATGTACTTTTTGTAGCATTGATTTTTTTTTAAAATTATTTAGAAATTTGAGAAATGGCGCATAATGCATAATTATCGTTCCATTTTAAAATGGGACGGTACCATACTATATCGTGTCAAAATCATTTCAAAAAATTTCAAACATCTAGATACTCTTGGAGTTGATTTTTCAATCAAGCTATTAATTATTATAAGCATAACATAAATGTAAAAACTAAGTATTATATGCCTAACATTGTAATTGAAACATAAAATGCATAATAAATAAATTCTTACAAGTCCACCTCTCATATTTAAGCAAACAAATAAACTAAATTATAAATTATCTGTCTTCTTTATAGTTACCCCGTATTTTTATCTAAAGATTTTTTTTTGAAAGAAAATCTATCATATGCAATTTATCGTTTTCGAACTGACTAGCAATACATTCAGGAGCCACAGAAAAAAGAACTAAGCCATCCGACAAAGAAAGAGCGGCCCTAGCTAATTTATGAGCCACCACATTCACGGACCGCATACAATGAATGACTTCTATACTAGCTTCATTCCGAAGATTGTGTCTTATATCATCAAGGATTGTATCAAAATAGGAATCCCCCTCCCAGTTCATGAAGTTTGAAACCACATGTAAGGAGTCCATTTCTAACTTGACATTTGTCCAACCCTGGGCTTTAACCCACGATAAAGCTTCTCATACCCCCACTGCTTCGGCCACCACTGCGGACCAATCTGCTGTCACTGTCTGGTAGCCACCATGTAAGAGTTCCCCTAGCTCATCTCTTTTGCAATCCATGCGTAGGTCCTCTTGCTTCTTGCAATACTAAGTGTCGCGTCTATGTTCACCTTTATGCTTCCCGGCAGTGGTCTCTTCCAAATAGGTCTGCTCCCCGCCGCACCTGGTTTCACTCCTTGGTCACCTCGAGCCCACCTCTAGGATTTGTCTCCATCCAGTCGCCTTTTACTTCCAGACTTTATCATTTCGATCCTTCCACAGGTTCCACAAAGTCATGATAAAGCTGCACAACTCATCAACCTGCAAATTATCAAAAAAACATTGAACCCAATTTGATAAAGTATTTCCGATTCTCACAAATCGGACACCAATTTTCCTCCAGACAGCCTCAGCAATGTAGCAATTCTAGAATAAATGAATCTCAGTTTCTTCTTCATCCTCGCACAATTTACATTCGTTATTCACGTCTACTCTTCTTCGTTGGAGATTATTTGTTGTGGGCAATACTCCTGTCATTAATTGCCAAAAGAAACATTTTACTCTTGATGGAATTGCGAGATTCCACATTTTGGTCCACCCCATCCAGCCTCTAGCCTCATACTCACCCGAAGTAATCTATACCCACTTTTAACCGTATAAACTCCCATAGGGTTTCCTTTCCACCAAATCCCATCTTCCGACCTTCTCCTGCTTATCGGTACAGAAAAAATTGCTCTTCTCTCTTCTTCTGAAAACATGGTATTAATTTTCTGAACATTCCAGCCATCCCCGTTCTCTGTCATCAAGGCTACCACATTCATGTCAGCTATCCATGCTGGTGGAGCCATATGTATTAACCTAGTTCCTTCTCCCAACAATCATCTTTCCATCCATACTGAAAGTGATATCCCGCTACCCACCCTCTTGCGAGTACCATGTGCCATCATATCCTGTGCCTGAAAGATACTACTCCAAATGAAAGATGGGTTATTCCCCTATTGAGCTTGCATGAATGAAGAGTTAGGAAAATACTTAGCTTTTAAACACCCTCCCCACCAACGAATCAGGATTTTTTATTAACCTCCAAGCTTGCTTTCCCAGCATGGCTATATTAAATTCTCTTAAAGACCGATAGCCCGCCCACCCTTTCTGTTTTGGAATGCATAAAGCTTGCCACGTTTTCATCGAACACCCCTCCTCGTTTGCCCAGAACCCTGCCACCAGTAATCATTCATTATCACCTCTACCTCTGAACAAGTTTTCTTCGTTAGCAAAAAAAACCATTGCATATGTTGACATAGCCTGTATCACTGTTTTAAGCATAATTTCACGCCCAACTTTAGAGATAAACCTATTATTCCATCCTCGAATTCTCTTAATTATTCACTCCTTCAAATAATTCAAAATATCATGTTTATTCCTCCCGATTAGAGCAGGGAGTCCGAGATATGTTAGATTATCCCCCTCCACTCTAACCCCAAGTAAACTGCAAATATTGTCCCTACTTTCCTCACCCAAATTTGGACTGTACATTACATAAGATTTTTGATAGTTTACCTTTTGACACGAGAAGCCCTCATATAAATGTAACAAATTTTTGACTGCCTCACATTCTCCTGGTCGAGCCCTGAAAAACAGGTAACTATCGTCAACAAAGAAAAGATGTGATACTCAGGAGCACCCCTTGCCACTGCTATGCCCAATATATTGCCCATTCGCTCCTGCCTTCTGATTAGAGCACTCAGACCCTCTGTTACCAAAATGAAAAGGGATATAATATTCCACAGTAGAAATACATTCCCGAATTAAATTTATCCACTTTGTATCAAAATCTAGCTGTCATTACTATCTTCAGGTACTTCCATTCAACTCTATCATAAGCCTTCCTCATATCCAATTTGAGGGCCAAATAACCATCCCAACCGTGCCTTTTGCGCTTTAACCAATGCAAGGTCTCAAAAGCAACCATAACATTATCCACTATCGATTTGCCCATGACAAAAGCACTCTGGTTCATTGAGACTAAGTCATTTAAAATGATTTTTAATCCATCAGCGAGAACTTTACCAAAAATCTTGAAAATCACATTGCATAGACCAATAGGACGCAAATCTCCTATGCTTTCTGGTTTATCCTTTTTTGGAATAAGAATTAAATTAGTCCTATTTACCTTCCTGGGAATTTTCCCCTGAGGACATCTATCTCCCAAGATATCCCAATAATGCTGAAGAAATGCCGGATTTAATCCATCCGGTCTAGGGGCTTTACCCGGATGCATAGAAAAACTGCTCTCTTCACCTCCAGAGCAGTAATCGGCCGAAGTAATTCACAGTTTTGAGCCGTGGTGACCTTCGCTAGTCCAACAAGCATGTCTTCCTCCACTACTGAATAACTTGATTCAAACAGCTCGTCGTAGTAATCATGGATCATCCTGCTCATTTTAGCGCGATCCACTTCCCAGCCCCATTTGGTAAACGTAGTCCCTTCATTTTATTTTTCCTTCTATGCTGTCTAACCGCATTATGGAAAAATTTAGTGTTCCTGTCACACTCTGTAAGCCAAAAAGTCTTTGCACATTGTTGCCAAAAAATATGCCGCCTTTGAAGCAGGTCGATCAAGACTTCCTTTATCTTTTGAAAATCGGCACCGTTCCATCTCCCATCTTCTTCCCTTAAATCTGCCAGGCGACGTTTACATATTTCAATCCGGGTCTGAAACCAAACCCTACACGTTTTGCTCCACGTTTTTAGCTCCATCCCGCGGTCTCTGCCAGATAGCTAAATTTGATGAGTTTAGCCAATCTCTCTGTACACGTCCTCCTTTAACCAAATATTTTCAAATTTAAACTCTCTTTTCCTTCTGGCATTGTCGTCTCTAGCTAATCACTAGAACTCGCAAAGTATTCGGTAAACAGTGATATCCAGCCGCACACTGATCCTGGAAACCTTCGTCTCCATCAGAAATTACAACCCCGACCTCTTTGACTAAACTAGATCAACAAGGACCTGCACCGTTGCTAAATTGCCCAAGCCGCGGCAATTTCAACTGACCACTACATAGCTTTGTTCAAAGGACCCCCTTGCGCTACGGGGTAACACCTCTTCAGAACAACCAGTGGAGTTTGCACATTCTCCAATTCTTTTTTTTTTTGATAATCCAGATGTCGGAGCTTACGCTCCCATAATCCTGTAGTCTATGAACTACCCTCCAAAGCCCCTAGACACTTAAGTCCGGATCTGATCACAGTCAACCTCATCAGTACTGGCTCCAAAGGACGAATCCAGCAGGACTTACATCACCTTTCGGGTTGTTCCTCTCACCACACGAACCCGCTACCTTCATTACCATCTTCTCCCTTCTCAGCCGCTGAGCAACTCCCTCATCTCCGTGGGAATTGAACCCAAACCTCCCACAAAGGAGAGACTTGGGGGTGGACTCTCCAACTCTAATGTAATTTGGATCGACAAACTACAACTGCTAAGCCACACCAACTCACACCAGCAATTCCAGAAGCAAATAAACTAAACTGTAAATTATCTGTCTTCTTAGTATTTTTATCTAGTAAATCTACTTAATTTTGTATGCCTGCTAACTTGTTAGAAAAAGTAATAATAAAAGAAATTATAAATAAGTTAAATAAAAACAATCCATATATATAATACGGAGTAATAAAATAAGGCTAAAAATATTCTACATATTACTTTCGTTCTATTGGACATTGCAAACTTAAGTTTGGTGTGAAATAAGAAAATTAATTTTTTTTTGTGGTTGAGATTTGTACAAGAGAGGAAAAATTAAGTGAGTGGAAAAATTATTATATGAACTCTCATAATTAATGTGTATAGATATTAACTAAAACAGTACTACGGGTATAAGAAATAAATAGATATAAAAACAATATAAATGTTATTTTACGTGTATGATTAATCTCACATATGAAATACTTAAGAAAAAATGACATGTATATTAAAATAGAGTTTCTCCGGACAAAAATATGACTAATTATGTTTTTGGACAAAAATATGACTAGACACTGTGTTTGAGTCACTGTGAATTAATCACTATAGTATATTTTAGAATAACAAGTCGTTATAGATGACGAGTCACTAAATATGTCACTTTTATGATTTTTTTAAAAAATAAGTCATATTTTTATCTTTTGAATTTAATTTAGTAATATTCATGAAAAAAGAAGGATGATTAACTCTTTGAATCTCTTTGACAATCAGAATTTAGCAAATTAATTATATACAAAAAATTATTATCCATCAAATGAATTAAGAGCCCGTTGGTGATTATGTTTTTTGGTTTATCAGGCTTATCAGCCAACTTTTCAAGCAAACACGTAAGTTTTGATTTCACGTGTTGAATTGTGTAATAGTAAGAAAAAGTAAGGTTGTAGTTACTTTTCTGGCAGTATTGGCTGAAGTTAACGTAGATAACCATTTTAAGTATTTTTTCATATACTACTTTCTTTATTTTATTCATAAAATATATTTTAAATATAATTTTTTCATAAATCAGCAGAATAAATTGGGTCTTTCATTCTTCCGGTTTTATTAGATTTTTCGCCTTCTTGTTTGACTATTCTCGAGTCAAGTCTTGCGCCCCCGAGATTTTACATTTTTTCGGTTCAGGTTGTATTTTGAGAAGGTATGCATGCCTTCTATTGAGGGGGTTTTGGTGTTGTCCCCCTCTCTTATTGTTTCATTTTCTTTATTATTAATAAAATCTGGTAAATGTTCCCCGACGTTTACCCACTGATTTTGGTGGTTTACCTTCCAGGTTAAAAAAATCAGCAGAATAAGTTAATACATTCACTTCAACCAGAACTTCATAAATTTCAACAGAATCAGTTGATTCAGCCGATTTCAGTGTGACCAAAATAGGCTCCAAATCCATATCCGGTCGTGTAACGCATGAGTCTGATTGAATAACATTAACCATGTAAAATTGTAAACGTAAAATACATGGTACAGTCAGTTGTACCGTGCGCATGGTACAACCAGGACTTTTCTTGATTGCTGCGCTTCTTCAGCCTGGCCTTCGCATCCCTTTCTATGTTCCGGCTTCATACAAAGCTTCACACAAGACTTCTCCGATTTAGCTTGCTTCTTCGATCTGATTTCACATCAAGCTAACTGTCGCCGACGTTCACCCCCTTCTCCTTCAGCTCGCTGCTGCTCGCCGCCTCTCACCACTCACCTCTTCTCCTCCGGCACAAACGCAGCGGTTCCGATGTAGTTACCTCTCCTCCTCTGTCTTTCTTTCCACTCTTTTTCTCTTTTTCTCACACAGTTTTATTGTTTGAGCTTGTGATTTTCGGAGACAAATGGAGTCTACTTGGTTGCTGAGGAATTCTTACTGCTACTCATCTCAAATGAGTTTTATATTAAACTCAAATGAGTATACACCTAAAAGAAATGAACACACAAAAAAAATATTGAGCGCATTGGAAATGGGTTTTATGTTAAACTCAAATGAGTATAACGCCCAAAATGAATGAACATACACAAATGAGGTTTTGAATTTTTCATACTCATTTCGTAAGTTATGTATGCTCATTTGGTACTGCTTTATGCTCATTTTAAAATGTTCCACATTTCAAACGTATCATACTACATTATATTCACACAGTGAAATTAAATGAAATTGATTGTAAACATAATTTAAGAATTTTTTATAAACGAAAAAATAATAAAAAGAAACCGAATTAAAAGATATGAAGCAGAGATCAACAGTGCTCATGAAAACACTCCGAATACTCAAAAGAACAGACTCGATGCTCATCAGAATTGCATAAATGCTCATTTAAGAGAAATCATGATTTTCACTAAAATTACAAAATTGCCACCGGCTGTACGGTGTCAACCGTACATCCGGCTGTATGATATACACTTCCAATAGTTTGAGATCGTTTTGACATGGTTTACGAGAAAACCTCAGTACTCACTATATTAAAACACATCAATCAGCTTGGCCGGACAGGAAGGACCATTCATTTTTAAGCTTAAAGATCTTGAGTCTTTTCCCAGAATAATGCTAATTAAATAAATAATTCCCAAAATACTGTTGGGTTTAAAATAATTCCCAAAAACTGCTGGGTTAATCGTGGTTAAGAAAAGCCGCCACTTGAAGTGACGGCTCTTCTCTTATACTCCCTTAAAACTTTGCCAACTTTTCTTTTTTGGATGTCCCACTAACTTTGCAACTTTCTCTTTTAAGTAAATAATTTGTGGTTCCAGATAATTCTCTCTCCTCTGCACAAACCTCAACCACACAGTTTTTACTTTATTAATCCACGTGCCGATCAAACTTGACAAAGTTTTGAGGGACGGGGGGTGTAGTACAAAAGCCGCCACTCCAAGTGGTGGCTCTTCTCTTACGGCCCATTTTGTACATATATAAAACGCAATATGTTTCAAGAATTTGTTTAACTACCTTTCGGATTGAATTTTGAGCTGAACTTTGATATGCATAAACTAGACTTAATGAGGAACATGCTCAAAAAATGTCATCAAAAAATTCCACCGGAAACACCCTCTTATGGTGTTGTCCGCGAGGGGTTTCGGTAAGGACGTCATGACAAAAGGGTGGTCCGGCCACCTCAATTTGAGGTGGTTCCCGGTGGTATGTTTTGATGAAACTTTTTGTGTATGTTCATCATAAATTCTAGTTCATCCGAAAGGCCGTCAAATAATTTTTCAAAGATAACTACGCCGGATTATACATATAAAACGCAGTTATCTTTAAAAAATCATTTGACTGCTTTCCCGATTGAAATTAGTTCTGAAATTTGATATGAATTAACTAGATTTGATGAATAACATACACACAAAAATTCAGCAAAACATCCCACCGGGAACCACCTCAAATTGAGGTGGTCGGACCACCTTTTTGTCATGACGTCCTGACCGGAACCCCCCGCGGACAACACCATCAGAGGGTGTTTCCGGTTGAATTTTTTTATGAAATTGTTTGAGCATGTTCCTCATAAAGTCTAGTTTATGCATATCAAATTTCAGTTCAAAATTCAACCGGGAAGGCAGTTAAACAAATTCTTGAAACATACTGCGTTTTAGATATGTACAAAATGGACCGTAAGAGAAAAGCCGCCACTTGGAGTGACGTCTTTTGGACTATAAGAGAAGAACCGCCACTTCAAGTGACAGCTTTTCTTAAACACGGTTAACCCGACAGTATTTTAAAAATTATTTTAAATTCAAAAATATTTTGGGAATTATTTTGGAAAAAAACTCAAAGATCTCAGGAGACCGGAAAGGTTCATTTAACTTAAAGCTAATGTGGTTTCAATGTTTCATTATAAATTTATAATTATTATTACTACTCGTTAAAAGCGTGTGGTTTGTTTCGTATGGTCTTCTTTGACTTCAAAATGGGGTTTTGCGTATAATCCAATTCTCTGTTCACACCTGACATTTTCTTTCTAAGGCATCCATTGCCCCCCCTGCACTAAAGCACATTTTTTCACAATTCGCTCGATTAAAATAAGATTTCTCGTTGTTGTGGGTTTGAAAACGAAGAAAAAGATTCCTTTCTAGTTCAGGGAAAATTACATATAAAAAATAAACTTTTTCTTTTGTTGGTTTGCCCGTTTTGTGTTGGAAAGGTTAAAAAGGGCAGCGTGGAATACTTTTATGTTTGTTTATTTGTTGCGGAAGGTGTTGGTTTTTGAGCTTTTAGATTTTTTCATCTGATCAAGCTTCTCATTGGGTTCGTTAGCTGCTGTATAATCCCCTCTATGAAGCGAGTAAATTTTTGATAGAGCATTTCAGCTTGAAGCTTTTATTTGGTCAGCATTGTTTTTTGGTAATTGCTATATACTCAATTGATTCACATAGAATAGATGCATTTGAGATTTGGAGCCTTCTTCAGTCTTTGACTCTTTCTAATCTATTGTTTGGTAAATGCTGTACTCTTACTGCTTTGAATTAACTCTTGCTTTCAATTTACTGCTTAGGCTTGTGATTTGTCCATTAATTTTTGATTTCATGATTTAAGATTCTGAATTCTGAAAATGGTGCCTTGATTCCATAATTTTCAGGTTGGATCATCTGTGATCATGAGACAGTAGTTTGTTTCAAAATGGGTTGGCTGAGCAAATTTTTTAAAGGATCTAATCACAAGGTTTCAGAAGGACAACATCATTTGAGCTATGGTGGACACAAGGAGGAAAATCAACCATCTACTTCATGGGTATGTATTGTTTGCAAGTTTAGTGTTTTATTTTAACCTGTTTGGTTTTCAAAATGAATCTAAGCAGATTTAGCATATCAGGTTAATTTTTTAAATTTGGGGGTCTTCTAGGAAACATACTATCTACTTCTCGGGTAGAGGTAAGGTCTGCATACATGTCACCCTCCCGAGACCCTGTTTGGGAATGGGACATACTTGGTATGTTTGGTTTGGTTTGGTTTAGGGTTTTTAATGAAACTTATACTCAAGTTTTTGGTCTTGGATGGAGTGCTGAAGGTACCAGAAACTGTCCAAATGTATTTAATGGAGAAACAAATTCACTGTTTGTTAAAGCTCAAAATATCAGAAGTTGCTTGTGAAAGACATTACAATATTCTTTAGAATATGCTTTAGAATATTCTTCTATCATTAGAATATGCTTTAGAATATTTTAGGAATATACTCTAGGATATTATTATTGTATAGAATCTTAAAGGAATATTCTATCTTTGTAATGTATATATATATATGGACTTAACCCTCCAATGAAATACACAGAAAATCATTTTCCTTCTCTTCACTATTATCTTTGTATCGATTCATGTTAGCCGACCCCAATATCTTTTGGGACTAAGGCTTGGATGTTGTTGTTGTTGTTGTAAGTCTGATAACATTGCTGAATCAAGAGACATTGATGAAGTTGTGACATATAATAACTGAATTATCAATTTTTTAAATTTAGGATTAAAAAATAAACTAAAATAAGATAAGAGGCCTTCTAAATACAGACCTTAGGGATATTTAAGCTCAAGTCAGAGAAGAGTGTTGTTAATATTCACTAATTAACTAAATCGTCAAAGAATATTTTTATTATTTGGCATTTCAGCAAAACACTCATCAAAGAACTACATTAATCATTCAGATAGTGAATGTCACTTAAAAATACATAGTGCATTATATCATTATTAATGCTTAATGTAGACCTAAGGACTATGATTAGCATTTGCCATAAAAATAATATGTAAAAATTAACGTGAGACAATACTGATGTCTATTGAACAGGAACTTATTGTGAGAGTTCTAATGTTAAATAGGTTTCATAAATTAAATGAAGGTTGCATCAGCCTATAGTCTAGACAACTACCTCTTTGTGATACTAATAATGTGAATTGATGATTAATCAGTGTTCTAAGAATGCTAATTGATGATTTGTTAGTGTTCTCAGCCCTTTTTTATTGCTGGTATAACACTGTAGGACCCATTGTCAGAGATTGAAGATATAGACCGTGCTATCGCATTGTCGCTTTCAGTAGATGACCAAAATCGTAAAAATGTACCGGGTTAGTGCAATGCTCATTGTCTCATACTCATCATAGTGCCTGCTGTTCTTCTATTGAAATCTTATTAGAACTATAAAAAGACTTTGGGAAAGTTTCTTCACTGTCTCATGCAGTATACAAATTTCTTAGTTTTCCTTGTACTTCTTTTGCTGATACAAGGTTTATTTTAGTGTTCAATATAGTTGATTCAATGAGAACTCATATGTTGGGCAGATAAAGAAAAACAGTTAAATGAAGATGAACAGCTTGCCAGAGCTCTTCAGGAGAGCTTGAATCTCGAGTCCTCGTCACTATGGAAAGGAAATATAGATAATCATGTACGTGGGGGTCGTTATGGAAATGGAAACTATTATCAACCTATCCCTTTCTCCAATGCAGGAAGTTTCAGGTTTCTATTCCAAGTGATCTTATATGTCATATTCTTTTTTCACTTCCTGCACTAAGTGATAGAACCAAACAATTCCTCTAGTTGGTTTTTATTTATCCTTGCACAAATGTTTTAATATGCCCTTTCTCTTGTTCTCAATGTACTGCTTTGCAAAGTGCCAGTCATGAAATTTATTCCCTTTCTTTCTCAGTGCCAATGTTAAGACCCTATATTTGTCTTGTCCATGATAAAGCTCTTTTTTTGGCTGAAATTAGTGAAATGAATGAAATGACAACTTCACCTTAAGTCTAATTTATTATTTTCTCTATTTATGAAGAAACTATTTTCCTGATATTTATTTTGAATTTGCGATAATTTGTAAAGTTTAACAACATTCATTTTGACCACAATTTTAGACTTTCAGTAACTTCAGCCAAATATACCCTTACCAAACAGGGCCTTAGTGTCTTGATATACGTATTACGGTGAAAAGTTTTTCATTATGGTAGGATATGTGGTGGGTGCAACAATGAGATTGGCCATGGGAGATTCTTGAATTGTATGAGTGCTTTATGGCATCCAGAGTGTTTCAGGTGCCATGCATGCAACCGAGCAATATCTGATTATGAGGTATGGAATCATGTAATCTCTTTTCCTGTGCCAAAATCAGTTCTATTAGCAGCGGGCCATTGGCAGATTTGGAACATTTTTCTGCCTAACAAATATTGTGTGTGTGTGTGTGTATACACACACACAGACACATAATCTCTTAAACTACTAATCACGCACACACTTAGTCTCTTAAAGTACTAATCTTTCATTCTATATACACAAAGTATTTGAAAATGTCATTATAAAAGTACTTTACCCACATAGAAGATCATTATTATTTTCAAATTTCAAATGTATGTACAAGGTTCACTAGCGCCCTTCTTTTTAACTTTCTGCATTCCATTTTTTTCCAGTTCTCTATGTCCGGGAACCATCCATATCACAAGACTTGTTATAAGGAGTATTTTCATCCAAAGTGTGATGTATGCAAACACTTTGTAAGTATCAAGACTACATATATAATATATTATTTCATTGTTAATAGGTTATGTATAATAGTTTTATATTTTTGCATATAAATATGGCTTCTCCTGTCACCTGCAGATCCCAACAAATGCAACAGGTCTTATTGAATACCGCGCACACCCTTTTTGGTCCCAGAAGTACTGCCCATTTCATGAACGTGATGGAACACCACGCTGTTGTAGCTGTGAGCGGATGGAGGTAAATCCAACAAAAGAAAACTGTAATATGTAGGGGTCCATTTTGAATGTGGAAAATGCCAGGGAAAGAAAATGGGAGGAAAACTAGAGAGCAAACATTATTGAAAGAAAAAGTGGGGGAAGAAATTGCTCTCAATAATTATGTTTTAGATCTTTGTTCGAACTTAGTTGATTTAAATAATTCTATTATATAAAGACATAATCTACCTTTTTTTAAGAAAAGGTAGTCATATTCGGGTTTTCTTGGTATTTCTATTGTATACCCTAACAGGCAAACATAAAAACAAACATTTCCTTAGTTTCCCTACCATTTACTGTGAGTTTCATCTCTTCACAGGCCCACCTCATCATCATGTTCTTCTCATAAATTTGGAACAAAATGTGTTTTGTATTGTATGCAGCCACATGAAACAAATTATGTTGCTTTAGGTGATGGTAGGAAACTCTGTTTGGAGTGTTTGGAATCTTCCATTATGGACACCAATCAGTGTAACCCCCTTTACCTTGATATACAAGAATTCTATGAAGGGCTAAATATGAAAGTGCACCAGAAAGTCCCATTGCTATTGGTTGAGAGACAAGCCTTAAATGAAGCTATGGATGGAGGGAAACATGTAATACTATTTTCAAATTTCAAACAAATAAATTTGTTTTTTTTTAATATTCTTTTTGCACAACAGAAGTAGCTAACTTTTTGAGTTCTTTTCAGGGGCATCATCACATGCCTGAGACAAGAGGACTCTGCCTTTCCGAAGAAAGAACAATCAGCACTGTAATAACATCTTCGCCATTTTACTTAAGCTATCTTTGGAGTTTTCGGGCCCGGTTGGAACTGGAAAGTGTTATGAAAAAAAATTGGAGGAGGATTAGAAGGAAAGGAAAGTTGAGGGAAGATAAACGATAGATTCAAACTAATAAATCTATTTTGGCAATTTTTTCAAACCCATTTTCTTTATTTATCATCATTTGCAATGGAGGCAAAAGACTCACTATTTTTGGCTTGAGAATATGATGGAATAAATCAAAATGACTCACTAAACAGCAATAGTCACTATGGGTCATTCCATGTACACGTAATTTTCGACGCGATTTTCACTATGGGTCATTCGGAAACAGTCTCTCTGTGCTTTAGTACAGGGGTAAAGCTGTACAGCCGTGTACATCCGACCCCCCTTAACCCACTGTTGGTGGGAGCCTTTGCGGCATTGGGGTAATAATGATGATGATGATTTCTATGATATAAAAACTAAGAAATATGAACATATTAAAATAAAATATACAAAAAATAACCTTAGCTTTTTCCATAAGATTACTGTATTTTACCAAATAAATAGTATGGGAACCCATTTTATACATTTATTGCTATTAGTGTATTCCATTTTCTTCTGTATTTTCAAGGTAAAACAAAATATACAAAAAATAACCTTCCTTAGCTTTTTCCCTTTTCCCTACTATTTTATTTTTCCAGGATCCAAAGATGCCCTAAGATGCCCTAAACTACTGTCATCATGTTTAACAGTAAAGTAACATACCGTTTACACTGCATTTTCTAGATACTGCGTGGGCCAAAGATAGGGGCTGGAACTCGTACCATAGAGATGAGAAGAGAACCATTTAAATTAACACGCCACTGTGAAGTGACAGCAATACTAATCTTGTACGGTCTTCCTAGGTATTTTCATTTCTATACTTCTACACCTCCAACGTATATTATCACTCAAATTTAAAATGAAAAACCACTTTTCTCTTGGAAAATGTTTCATTTTGACGATAAACTTGAATGCTCTTTCAGGTTATTGACAGGATCCATCTTAGCGCATGAGATGATGCACGCGTGGCTTAGACTTAAAGGTATCCATTTTCTTCCTACAATCAATTTCATTGCCTTCGATTTCATATCATTAAGATTCTTTTTGGTGTGTGACTGAGAGGTCACAGGTTCAAGTCTAGGGAGCGGCACTTGTCAAAAATGACAAGGAAAGCCTTGCTCCTTAAACACCTTGTGATGGGACACTTCCCCGGAGCCTCCCTCCATAATTTTCCATCTGAACAGACCCTAATGGAAGAAATAACATAAGTATATTTTCGATAAGGGTGCGCTTTGGCGGAAGGTTGTGAACGGCTAAGTCTATATCATAATGTATATTAAGATTTTCAAAATGGAAGAAATAACATAAGTATTATCATACGGAGTAACTTTTCAGTGACTTTCTATTTGTTTTGAATAACATTTATTTTTCAAGAAGATATAGTCTAAACCCTCCAAAGCCGTCACCCTGAAAACCCCTAATCCCTCATCAAAACAGACCCTGAAGCACTAACAATAACACATTCCTGCCTTACTCTTTAGCTTAGCTTTTCACAGTGCTCATATTAAGCTGCCTTTCCATTTTCTTGAAAGGTTATCAAACTCTTAGCCAAGATGTGGAAGAAGGCATATGTCAGGTTTTGGCTCACATGTGGCTGGAATCACAAATTTTGTCACTTTCAAAAGTCAATGGAGCATCATCATCTTCAGCACGCTCATCGCTGACTGGACCACAATTTGAGTTGAAACTTGGCGAGTTCTTTAAACACCAGATAGAGTCAGACACGTCTCTGGTATATGGAAATGGTTATAGAAGCGGTAACCAGGCAGTACTTAAGTATGGTTTGGAGAGGACATTGGAACATATTCGGATGACGGGCACCTTTCCTTGTTAAAATAGTAATTTATACGTAGTATATCTTTTTTTACTTTGATTCTTCATAAATTTTTTTTTATTTTATTTTTAAAGTTAAACATGAGCCTGTGACTGGTTCATATTGGATTCCTGGACTCACGTGTCACCATGCCGCTACTCTAGGATTTAGAAATTCTTATACCTTTGTGCTCTTCCAAAAGGAAAGATTGTTTTGTCACAAATGATCGGATAATAGGAAATACAAAAAAAAAATGTTTTTTAACATATAGATAATTCAACAAATCCCAGTCCTGATTTTTTTAGCACAACTGCAGCAGTCCAAATGTGGGGAGAAAGCCATGGAGTGATGTAGGCTTACAAGGTTGAAGAGTTGAACTAGTTGATTGGGTTGAGCCGTTGAGCTTATCGGTAAAGGAGAATTAATCAAAAGACTGAATCTATGCACAACCTTTAATCAATTTGTTAAAAAAAGATGCAACTAATTGATGAAATATTATACAGATTACAGAGTAGCTTGCTATTAGAATGATATTTCATATGAGATCGTATGATATTAAGCATCAGACTTTGATTTGTAAAAATTCCACGATAAATCTTAAGCATTGTGTGATAAAATTCGTAATATAATTGCAACAACAATAGATCAAAAGGTTGCTTTTATTCATATGTAGTCTTGTGTACAAGAAGTTGTCCCCCCAGGCTCCAATGAGAGCTCATTGCCCCCTCTTATAGTGAGAGGATATTACTCATAAATGAGCCAACGAATACAATTGAATAGGTTGATAAATAAATAATTGTTGGATAATAAATTTAGTTAAATATGTGACCATAAATACTCGTCTATTTGCCTATTAGGGCATCCTCATCCATAGATTTATTTGGAGTTCATTTTGCTGATGAAGACTATTTTAGAGATCATTGTTGAGGAGCTGAGTTTATTTGAAAAGATTATTTTGAAAAATAATCTGGTATCAAATATCAAATCTGGATTATTCTCAAACTTCTAAGCTTTTTCTCCAACTTTCAATACATTTTCACGCATGGTACGTTGGTTGTGGAGCAACTCATGGGATTCTTTTACGGCGAATCAATTTTGACCGGAGTTCCAAACTATGGCCGGTCATTTACTATCAATCCAGCTGACTCCACTAGTTTGCATATACGAAGTAGTTTAAAGTTTTGACCGGCTGACCTGCACGGGTAGCTCAGTTGGTTCAGTAGTGGGAAATTTGGATCAAGTGACCAAGGTTCGAAACCCGCAGCGGCCGTGTGGAGGTCACAGAACCTGAAATAAGGTTGGGCCTCTGGTGCGCACGGGAAAAAGGTCCACCATCATTGGGCCGACTGAGTCATCGTGATTAACATCCTCCCAAAAATCCTGTCGGGTCGGGGTATGGGGGCTCCTGGGGTGGAAGATTCCACCTTTTTGGACCAAGTTTTGACCGGCTGGTACGTTTCCAATTTCTAGGTTATATTTAGGTTAGTAAATTTTAATACTCCCTCCGTCCCTTAAAACTTTGTCTCTTTCCCTTTTGGGACTTCCCAAAAAACTTTGCCACTTTCCCTTTTAATCAATTATTTTGTGGTTTCTGTTATTTCTCTCTCCTCTGCACCAACCTCAATCACACAGATTTTACTTTATTATTCTCCGTGCCGGTCAACTTTGGCAAAGTTTTAAGGGACAGACGTAGTATGAATTACTAAATCTAGTTAAAATCAAACTAGTAAAGTTTAAATTTATTACAATTAAAATCCGTATAGTCAGCATAGAAATAATTAATATATAAGGATTATGATATATAAATGTTTGAAAT